CCTATTGAATTTACTTCAGTAGCATTTATTTTTAAGCATCTCGTTTTCAGGTCACGTGAACAACCCATGCACTGTGGAAGAAAGCATGTCCATTCCACTCCGCGTTCTAATAGAAAAGCATGCAGGCGGTGTTCGTGGTGGCTGGGACAACCTTTTGGCAGTCATTCCCGGTGGAAGTTCCACACCACTCTTACCAAAAAGGTTTGCCAGTCCATTTTTTGTCATAATCTACAGTTCCTCTTGCGGGAATATGAGCAAAATGTACACACAGATATAAGGATACCCACAACTGACCCAAAAGCGCGTAATTATTTTCTTGCAATAAGTTGGATATTTGTCTCTAGGAGTAAAAATATACAGACAGTTAATGTACGAGCTCATTTATCATTTCTGCCTTAAACACTTTCCACCAGTATTTGGTAGCGAAAGCGTCGTCACAACTGATTATAGGAACAAAGACGAGGCCGAAAATTTTCCCATGGTACACACACATTTTCTAGGAGAATGCAGTTAGGGCTTTCAGCTTTTAATATCCGCCGATTGTTCGAGTCGGCAACCAAATGCCAAACAAAACATTTCGGTCAATGATGAAAATTTAATGTCAGTCAACTAATTCAACTTTGAAATGTGAAAATTTGGCACATTGGCAAAGGTAACAGTTAAATTGGGTCACCAAAGAGCGCGCGAGACACCCACCCCTTTGGTAATAAAGGTCAAATGTGTGGGGTATATCTGGAAAAAGAAAAAAGTAATCAAAGAAGTAGAGTGTATAAAAGTAGAAATAATAGGAATAATTGTTTAAATAACCAAATGATCAAATGTTTGCGTGCGGTAATTAAAATGGCCCAATAGTGCCCATTTGAACACAGTCGTTGACTATATAATTTCTATGTCATACCCGTAGAGTTGATATAGAGTCGGCGATTGTGTCCAATTGGGCCCTATTGGACCATTTTAATTATCGCGCGCAAATAATCGATTATTTAAATAAGCTCTTCGGTGACCTAAATTAAACTGTCACCGTTGTAAACTACCACATCTTTAAGTTCGTTGAACCGTAAGAACAAAAAGTTTGCCTCCCACAAACATAATCCTTTTTTATACATTGTTAAGATATTGTATGCATTTGTCAAACGTCTGCCTGCCAGCCGTACGGACTGGATCCTATAAGAAAGAATGCGCAGTGGAAACTTCTGTTTGCGGAGGGTCAACGTTTCATGTTACTACACATTGGGCTATTTATTCCAAAATTTGACGCAATCACACGATGGGGCACATCCGATATTGACTACCATTGTAACCTATTTCGTTACTGAAAGTATTCGATAACTCTTGACCTTCTAGGGTGCGTTATTGGGCAGTGTTTTTCCTATACGTCCTCGTTTCCTGATTCACTCACCGCACAACCCTGAAAAATACAACATCTGGATTTTGGTTCTGTGCGCTGTGGCCAATACATGTCGTCATAACACCCACATTTTTCTTGACTTCGACACGTATACACGTCAAAACACTTGTTGCTGCAGCCTGGTCTGAAGGACAAGATAAACAATCTTATCGAAATCTTCATTTATATTACGCCATTGCCCAAGTTTCGTTTTTTTGGCTCGGAATAACTTTGAATAATGGGAATTCAATGACGTCAAGAAATTCCCCGAGTTCCGTTTTTCGACTGTTTACGGTCCTTGCACACTACGCTGTTGCCCAAGTTTCGGTTTAAATGGTTTTTCTTTCGGGACAAGTTTTAATAAGGCAAAGGTAGGAATTTAATGACGTCACGAAAGACCCTGACTTCCTTTTTCGATTGCTTACAGTCCTTGCATATTTTTAAAATTAACGATTCATTAAGAAAAAAGCGCTCAAGTCCACCAAACGGGGCGGGTACATACACGAGAGGAAGAATGCTGATCAGACATGCGGCTGGCCATGGGTCCAACGCTCTAACTCCTTGAGCCACGGGCTCGTCTTGCCGGCCTAGATCGGGAATTAAGTGGAGTTATCGCTGGTATTAGTTTCCACAAGCAGAAGGTTCCTCCAAATCAGGAGTCAGGGAAGACAGCATTGGTAGACAGATATTTACTGCCGGAAAATGAGTGTAAAGAAGTTGTGTCAACAGCCAGCTGCCAGGTAGGTCTGAACGCCTGGTCTGCCTGAGGAGTTGTGCGGGTGAGTGAAACTTTCGGTGCAGGATGAGTGTTTATTCAGCTG